TACTGAGCATGGAGAATTATAGATAGCTGAGGCTACAAACATCTCCTTTAAGAGAGAAATTATAATTACCTGAGTGTCACAGAATAAGCCTTATCTTTGAACAATTATTGAAGGGAATTTTATTCTTTTTAAAAAAATGTTTATTTATTTATTTTGAGAGAGAGCAAGAGAGATAACAAGTGGGGAAGGGGCAGAGAGAGAGAATCCCAAACAGGCTATGCACTGTCAGTGCAGAGCCCGACATGGGGCTTGAACTCACGAACCGTGAGGTCCTGACCTGAGCCAAAGTCAAGAGTTGGACACTTGACTAACTGAACCACCAGCTGCCCCAAAGGGAATCTTACCCTTATACGGGTGTATCATTCCTCCCCTTATAACAGAAAGGATTTCAGCTGGCCAGAAAGTAAAGTGTAATAATATTTAATCACAAGACTACAAATATATATAGGTGCATGCTACAATAGTAAGAAATCACATTCCCAAATGTTCACCGGAAGCAAAATTCTCTACTGTGCATTTTAGATATATCGCTCCACTTAATTGTTACAATGTGTCTATGAGAGGAACACTATTATATCATCTTTTTAAAAATATGGAAACAGATCTGTAGAAGTATGACAACGATCAAGGTCAGTGGTGGATTGAGGATTCGGATTCACACCCTTGGGACCACAGAGCTGAAGTTAATTCCCACATCATGCTGTGGGCAACATACACCGTGTGTAGGTTTTCATCCCAGATGTCCAGTTACTAAATAAATGCAATGCCTTCTGTATCCCAGCCCATGAAGTTAGAGAGTAAGTTTGGGCAGAAAGACCTACATCTCAGTTTACAGTTTTCAGATACAGAATGTGACTTCACAGGTCAATGAGAATTCCAAAGGAGTGCAATTTCTGTGTACTTATGTTTGGTGCCTAAAAAATACCAGTCAACGAGCTAACTTTGGGCAACAAAATCCATAGAAGATGGCCTGGCATGTAAACAAAGCTACGCTCACATATTTCTTGGTGTCTGTTCTATTATTACTTTGTTTGCCAGACCCCGAATGCCAAGGCCACCCAATTAAGAGATATGCCGAATTTTTCTTAAAACTGATTTAGGTTATAAAGGGGATACTTTTCACTAGTCCATATGATTTTCAGGATGATGCTAGTAAATATAAGAAATTATAGTCATACAGAAATAAATTCTTTCTTTTACAAAAGCCCTCAAGACAAAAAAACTAATTCAAGAAAGAAGTCATATCAGGAAAATGTCAAGAAGCAGCCAAGTCTACAAAAATAAATACTTCTATGAAAACACATGATGGATCCTTAATAGAGAACATTAAGCCAGGGTGATAATCTCTATTACAGAAGATTGTTTTATTTTGCTGACTTTCTGATACACGAACTTAGTGAAACATTTTATGTTAAGAATGACTAGCTTTAAATCTGGGTTAACAAACAAATTTGTGTAAAAGATACCGGTTTAAGAATACGTTTTTTGGGGCACCTGGGTGGCGCAGTCGGTTGAGCGTCCGACTTCAGCCAGGTCACGATCTCGCGGTCCGTGAGTTCGAGCCCCGCGTCAAGCTCTGGGCTGATGGCTCGGAGCCTGGAGCCTGTTTCCGATTCTGTGTCTCCCTCTCTCTCTGCCCCTCCCCCGTTCATGCTCTGTCTCTCTCTGTCCCAAAAATAAATAAAAATGTTGAAAAAAAAATTAAAAAAAAAAAAAGAATACGCTTTTTGATCTATCCATAGATAGGTCCATAGGGTGTGGAGGATGAACAGATTTTTCCCTTAGGTTTTAGATCTTTGAGTAGATGAAAATACTGCTGCCCCGGGATTCTCACTGCAGCTCTAGCCAGTATGTGCAAAGGACTGGACCCAGCTCCCGCTACAGACAGAGGTTCGAACTGTGATGGGGGATGCGGGTGCACGGGACAGGGAGGGCCTCTTTCTGGCTTGTGAGTGACACAGAAAAACAAGTAGACCCTCCCCTAATTCTTCTGCCTCTGGCAAAAAGGAAGGAAACCACAATTCAGAAGGCATTGAAAAATTAATTCGACCCTTCTCTGTGACTGGTTGGCCAGCCTGAATTGAAGCCAGGACAAAATTCAAGTTACAAATGACAGGTAATCCCATCCTGCAGACTGCATGGCCTCCGGCTTCCAGTGAAGTGTTCAGAGGAGAAGCAGAGAGAGGGAAGTGAGAATTTGTGGCAAAGTACAGATCTGTGTCTTCAGAAGCACCAAGGAAAAGCTCCTTGTTTTTTTGCATGATGAGTAATGCAAATCTAAATAATTTAATACAAGCTTATTTTTGTTTTATTAAACATTTTTTAATGTTTATTTTTGAGAGAGAGAGAGCGAGCAAGCGGGGGAGGGGTGGGGTGGGATATGCCGGATCTGAAGCAGGCTCCAGGCTCTGAGCTGGAAGCACAGAGCCCGACTCGGGGCTCCAACCCACAAACTGCGAGATCATGACCTGAGCCAAAGTCGGACGCTCAACCGACTGAGTCACCCAGATGCCTGCCTATTTTTGTTTTAAAACCAGAACTGTGCTTTCCTTTCTACCCCACACCCACCTACGGTACAAGCCTTGGAAGGCGGGCTGTATCTTTTCCTGCCACCCGGTGGCTCGGTCCCCTGCACAGGCAGTGGACTTGAGGCATCGCCAAGGTTGCAAAGACTTGAGGCCTGAGGGCTCATCCGGTTCGGAAATCCACTGTCTCACTAACACAAATGAGGTGTCAACACTATTTAGAATAGATTAATTGATTCATTTTCCACAAATGATCTTACGACAAAGAGGAAGAGGTGGGCGGGCAAACAATGCGAGGTTTGGAGATGCTGCAGTTCATCTGGGTGATGGGCTGGGCCACCGACTTCCTCATCCACCAGGGTTCTCTTCCAGTAAATGTAACAAGGAATCGGCTACATCTACCAATCATACAGAGGTGCTTGGGGAAAATAAACTAGCACCACTAAAGATGCAATATTTGCAGTTGTAATATGACTCAAGGGGGTTGTCTTGATGGCTTGGGGTCTGGAGGCAGCCACGCTGGCACTGAATCCCAGCTCGACTGTACGTGAGCTACGAGATGCTGGGAAGTTAGTTGATGTTCCAGGTCTCACTGTAAGTGGGGGTAACAATGCTTTTCTTGGGGCTCCTGGGTGGCTCTGTAGGTTGATGTCTGACTGTTGCTTTCAGTTTCGGTCATGATCCCAGGGTCATGGGATCAAGCCCCACATTGGGCTCTGTACTAGGTGGGGAGCCTACTTGGGATTCTCTCTCTCTCTCTCTCTCTCTCTCTCTCTCTCTCTTTCTCTGCCCTTTTCTCTCCTCTCTCTCAAAAAAAAGTGCTTTTCTTGCAGGCTGTTGTGTTAGAGTAAAGGTGCACAGAAGTCAATCTATAAATGACAGCAATTATTATTCCTGTGATTATTTTTAAAATATTGAAGACAGTGCATTATGTGTTGACAATCTCTACGGGGGGTATCATCATCATCAACACGAAACAAAGTCACCAACGTGAAACAAAGTCATCAACACAGACTATCTCCTCCTCTGGTTTGTCGCTGGTCTGGCAGAACCTTGTACAGACTCCAAATCTATTTCTAAATTCTGACCGATGCAGTAAAGTATTAACACAAAGTGTTAAGCATAAAATGCTTTTCGAGTTTTGAGTCTTACAAATTTATATAAGATGGAATGAAATATTCATCATCTATAATACATTCTATCGTCCTACAAGGGGTACATAAATCTCATGGCATAATTACACCCTTGACTACTGTGACCTTTGAAGATGCACATCTGCTTGGAAAAATGATAGAATAATTCCTCCTCAGTGGAAAACATCTGAGTTTATCTTTAAAATAGGCTTTAAATGAAAAATTCCTACACACTTAATTTTTACCACAGTGGTTCGCCTTCAGTTTCTTTGAGCTTGATTTGTCTAACAGCCCACCAGAAACTATGAATCTCACGTTGCCTCGGATCTACACACAACTCTCATTTGTCTGAAGTCCAAATGAAATTATTTTCTCCATGTTTGTTTTCCAAGGAGATGCCCACGTTCTACAGAAATGGAGTAGAAAGCAAATTGGAAACATTCATGCTGTTGATTGATGCTCTCTTATGAAACTTTTCAGCAATTCCTGTGTGCTCAAGTCAGGAAAATTAGGATGCCTCCCCTACATATTCAGAGGCAATGCACGCAACATGGGCAGCAGCACAGTTCAATTTCTTTGAACACTTCCTGAGCCCCTCCCCTTTCCCAAGCACAGCGAGAGGAGCCCCGGAGGAGTGAAGGAGAGGCTGAGGCGGGGAACAAGAGTCTGGGGGCAGGTGAGGTGACGACACAGGAGGACGGAGGAAGGGAGAGAAATAAAAAGGCATCCTTGCCTCTTCTTGCTAGCTTTGGAGCTGTTTCGTCATGTGTCTGACTCAACAAATGGCTTCGGCAGACTTTAACCAGTGTCCTTCCTGCCTTTGGACTCTGGAGACGAGCTCCCGATAGGGCGCCCCTGTGTTGTGCGTGGGTATCAGGCATGTGCTCATGTCCCTCCTTCCCACACACACTTCTGGGTCGCAAATCATGCATTTTTGAGAGACCAGGTAAGTTTAGGGGTGCCCTCTATTTTGGATATTACTGGAACTCTTGTGGGAGTCCGAGGGCCATCCACTGTGCCTGGGAGGTTGCAAGGCACAGGGGAAAGTCCGCCCTGCACGACCTTGACATGGACCTTGGGAACCAGAGCGGGAGACAGGTGGAGTTGTCTTACGATGGGGGCTTTACAAACGGCAAGTAACTGGACTCATGTCACCCCTGAGACCCTTGATGTAGTTAGCCAGGGAGGAACCACAGAGGCCACACATCAGGATGCTGCACTGTCAAAATCGAGCTGTCCCATCACCTGCCCTTAATTCCATGAACGAAGCTACTATTCAGTGTTCTACGCCTTCTTTGTTCTGAATATTTCTCATTAAAAGAAAATGAAAGAACAATCTTACCCATGAGGAATTTTGCTCAGGACATAGTATCCAGTGTAGGAGTGTTGGTATATCTGAAACAGACACGACAGAACACAAAAAAAGAAAACAAAGCAAGCATTGAGACAAAGGCTGTGACTGTGATATTTTTCAGATCACTGTGAATCCCAAAAAAACATTAGGGGGACGAAAAGGAGTTAATCAGGAGACCCGGAGGCAACATCTTTAATTTACTTAGGAAGTTAATTTGCACATCCTGTTTATTTTACTTTTGTCATTTGCACATTGTTTACAGGGCAGCCAGAGGCTCGATATTATCCCCATAATCAGCTGGTTTTTGTGATTAAATCAGGGGCACAGATTTCCAGCTCAACTACGTGCAGTACAGCGTGAATGAGGTCACCAGAGGCAGTCAGTCAGCTGGACCCAACGGGACCGTGAGACCCTTGTAGCGTAGGACTTCCTGTAAATGACGGCACATTCCATTGTGTATCCTCAGTGAATACAGACGCCAACACAGGCTTCACTGGGCAGCCCCCTGTCCTGCTGTAGAATGTGATGTGCACCTTTCAGCTTCGGAGAGGGGTCAGCAAATTAAGAACTCAATGCAAGAGGGAGCATGGCTTTTAAAACTAAGGCAACAAGCAAAACTCTGTCTCCAAACTCCTATAAGCCCCAACCTGCAGCCTCTCTTAAACTCTTGAGCCAGGAGAGGATTTCCCGACCCATAAATGCAATGAAAGGAATGCAAGGAATGACCAAGAGAAGGGACAACACACAATGCAGGAAGTCTCGGCATTCACCTCCTGCTTTCTGGACAGAGAGCCTCCCCAGCGTTGGGATGTGATGGGTTACTCTGCAGGGTTGAAGCAAGGAGGTACCGTAGTCCCTTTCTACCTGTGTACTTTCTGAGAGTCAACACTCTGTGTGGGTAAACGTTCAGTGACCAGCATTTAAAACCACCTTCCTAGGGGCGCTGGGCTGGCTCGGTCAGAGGGGCGTGTGACTCTTGATCTTGGGGTTGTGAGTTTGAGCCCCACGTGGGGAGTAGAGATTACTTAAATAAACAAAGTGTAAAAAGAAAAAAGAAACCACTTTTTTTTTAATGTTTATTTTCGAGACAGGGAGAGAGAGTGTGAGTGGTAGAGGGGCAGAGAGAGAGGGAGACACAGAATCGGAAGCAGGTTCCAGGCTCCGAGCTGTCAGCACAGAGCTCGATGCAGGTCTTGAACCCATGAACTGCGAGATCATGACCTGAGCTGAAGTCAGACGCTCAACTGACTGAGCCCCCAGGTGCCCCACAAACCACCTTTCTAAAGATAATCGGTGAGGAATGTGCGGGCCAAGGAAGACAGATCCATCATGAAGCACATAGAGTAGAGGAATATATTGGGGTGCTGAGGACAGAGTGAGCCTGCCAAAGAGAACAGGCAGGACTGTGCTAAGCTCAACAACCCCCTGCCTTGTTGGGGCCCCGGGATTAACTTCCGGACAATCTTGGTGGATTGCATTGCTTAGAGAAAAGGAATCCAGATATAAAAGTAAACAACAGCCTTTAAGCCCAGAAGATCTTTTGCTTCTGAAGATCCCAAGGCTCTGGCACCAGAATGATGGGATGTGGGGTGGCCTGCTGCGGACAGTGGGTGGCATCTGACTGGGAAACGTGTCCAAATACTGCTTTGGTTATGAATAAATAGCCAGCAGGCACACGACTGTGCAGGAGAACTTCACGGACCTGCGGGGCGACTGATAAGGAGCAGAGGAACCCAGCTCTGCTATTTCTGAAGTGATGCTGCTTCCCCAGGAGAGAAGGGAGGGCCTAGACAGCGCCCACCAAAGGACCCTGTGCTTTGACTACACTGCCTCTGAGCTGGATGAGCTTCCTCAGATGCAAGAACACAAGCTCGACAGACACAATGCAATTCTCTGCAGTCACGGGACATGGGCCCTGTGCTACACGGCACTCCTAAATTCCGGAGGCACCTGCTCATTGTGTTTAATCTCACTCTATTGTCATGGTGACCCCAGGCAGGCAAAAGGTAACCTTTGTTTGCTAAGATAGGAAAGTGAGGTAGGCAAGGGCAGGGGAGAGAGGAAAAGGAGGGGGAGGGGAGGAGTGGAGGCAATAAGGAGGAGGAGGGGGAAGAAGGGGCGGAGCCTAATTCTGGGACTCTATCATATAGAGGCAGCACAAATGATGGTATGAGACTTCAGAGACCAGGCTGTCAAAGGAATCCTGACTTCCTGCTGGCTCTCTTTCAGGTCATTGCTCTGGGGGAAGACAGCACCATGCCATTAAGAACCTTAAGCAGCCCTTGGGAGAGGTCACGTGGTGAGCAACCAAGTTTCCTCTCCAACAGATCACCAACAGCCAACGAGGAGCTGGGGCATCTTGCCAACAGCCACATGAGGGAGCTTGGACGTGCAGTCTTCATCCCCAGTCTAGCCTTCAGATGATGCCGCCCTGGCTGACACTCATGACAGACCATGACACAGAACCACTCAGAAGAGAAGGTCTTGGATTCCTGACCCACAGTAACTTCAAGATAATAAATGTTGGTTGTCTTAAGCTGCTCAGTTCTTATACAGCCATATACAGAAGTGACAGATCTAGTTTAAACCCAGAGGAAAAAGGGTAACTATTCCATCAGATAGGTACAGATTTCTAAGTTACTGGATTCCCTCCTATAAACCTTTGGCAACTTTTAAAACAAACAGAAAAAGAAATCCCTTATCAAATCAGTTTCAGTACAGAAGTGAGGGGCTGGGTAAGACCACTCGTAGACCAAACACTTGAAGGACGTCTTTGACATTACTGTACAGGGCAGCCCAAAGTGTCAGAAGTGATGATGGGGGTGAGGCTGGGGAAGTGGAAGGTGAGTGGCTAGTGTTCATGGAGAATGTCCTACCCATCAGGTGGTGTGCCAGCCCCTCGGAATACTGAAGTCACTCAATTTCTATGAATAGGCATTAACACCCTATTCTGAAGACAGGAAAATTGAATCTTAAGGAATTCAAATCAAGCTCAAGCAAGGTGTGAGCTGAGGTCTGTCTCTCTCTGATCACTGTGTTGGAAACTGTCTGAACAAAGGACATATCTCTTAACTCTCAAGTTACAAGTCCAAGTTGATGGCTGTCAACTGAAGAATCCAGGATCCCAACTGATACAATGACCATGCAAAACTTCATGGTTGAAGGACTATTCCTTTTTTAAAAAAATGTTTATTTTTGAGAGAGAGAGAGAGAATGCCAGCAGAGGTGGGGCAGAGAGAGAGGGAGACAGAGGACCTGAAGCGGGCTCTGTGCTGATGCGGGGCTTGAACCCACAAACAGCGAGATCATAACATTAATCAGGGTCGGACTGTGACTGACTTAACCGACTGAGCCACCCAGCAGCCCCAGGACTATTTCTTTAATCCATCTGGACACGGTGATTTCCATTTACTCCCCGGTCATGCCATTCTCACACAAACACCCAAAGTTGGTCTTCACATGCCTCTTTAAACACGCCTCTGCCTCTGAAATTCAGCCCTGGGAGTATCTTCTGACTGGGAACAATGAGAAAAAAGGAGACTGAACTGAAATAACCTCATAAGGTCAATGGTAAGAAGAAAATGAGAGAATTACCCATTCTCAATTCTATGCCTGTACTGTTGGGTTAAAAGAAAAAAAAAAAAAGCATGTGTGGACAGAAAATGTGGTAAAATATCTGGAATACCGAATCACTAATTAGGAAGACGGAAACAAAAATGGGAGTGTTTGGATGGCTCAGTCAGTTAAGCATCTGACTCTCGATTTCACCTCAGGTAATGATCTCACAGTCTGTGAGTTCGAGCTCTATGTCTGGCTCTGTGCTGATGGCATGGAGACTGCTTGGAATTCTCTCTCTCCTTCTCTCTGCCTCTCCCCTGCTCATGCTCTCACGCTCTCATTCTCTCTAAAAATAAATAGATAAAAGCAATTTTTTAAAAGAAAGGCTCTAATTTAAAAAAAATTGGAGAGGATGTAGGAGAGACAGGTAAAATCTGGATGTGCCAAGCACGCACGTGAAAGAAGCTGTCTGGGGTGAACGTTAGCACAAGTGGGACCCTTAGGAAAGAAAGTGCACTTAGGACTGAAGAGCTGCTCTTACAAAAGGATGGACGAGGGAGGGCCATGTCACAACCTTCTAAGATGGAACAATCAAATATCACTCTCTTCCACAAAGTGTTCTCTCAGCCCAGAGCCAAGAAAACCACGGACACAAAAGAAAACTACTCTTTAAAGAGAAAATGCCTGATCTTGAAAGGAATAAAAAAAAAAAAGCGACATGTCACTGGAAGAATTTGTTCCTTAGAAAGTCTTTCTTTTTCTTTTTTTTTCTGCTCTGTTGTGTTTATGTTTCTTTCTTTAAAATGGACTCTTAATACTTCTGATCATGGAAAAAAGTACAGGGCTGGAAGCTGGTAAGAACACATCTGGTTATTTTTCTAAGAGCGCGCTTTTGGGAGTTCATGGATTTGAGTTATTTTGGTTTCTTCCTACACTATCAAATTCCCCGTGGAAAATGAATATAGAAAAACCTGTTACCCAAAATGCGATTCACAAGATGCGAAAGCAATTTCAGCAAATTTTCTTTCTGATGTCATGAAAAATGGTTGATACGGGCATCCAAAAATTGGAATAAATATAACCAGTCGAAGGTTCTTCCTGGGAGAAGTTCACATTTGGTTTGCTTCTTCTAGTTTCGAAACACCTGCCCACAGGTCATCCCCTCTGCCCTCCATCGCTCCCACGGAGCCATACTTGCTGTCTATGGTCTTCCCTACCTCAGCCTCAGTGCTGACACTCATGACCCATTGTGCACACTCATGCAGACTCACTTTCCATCCTCTTCCTCTACGAAATCATCTACTCCTGTGGTTTTAAACCACACTTCCACCTAGGCATCCCTACCTCACACCTCACAAGGACCAAAACCTCAATATTCTCCAAAATAAACTCTTCAACGATCCTTAAAACCTAGTTCTCCTTTGATATGTCCCATCTGAGTTGGTGGTTTCATCATCCACTCAGTAAACTGAGCTAAAAACGT